ACTAACTAACAAAACTAACTAACTAACTAACTAACTAACTAACTAACTAACTAACTAACTAACTAACTAATAACTAACTAACTAACTAACTCACTAACTAACTAACTCACTAACTAACTAACTAACTAACTAACTAACTAACTAAACTAACTAACTAACTAACTAACCAACTAACTAACAAACTAACAACTAACTAACTAACAACTAACTAACTAACTAACTAACTAACTAACTAACTAACTAACTAACTAACTAATTAACTAACTAACTAACTAACTGACTGACTGACTGATTAGCTAACTAAACTTTGGATCCAGGGACAAATCTAAACATAAATGTGAATTATTACATTTTCAAAAATGCTTCCTTGTGAATTTTCTGGAAAGCTTTCCTTTTAAATTAAAGAGTTTTGTTAAAATTTTCGTCCCACTCACCTGTTATAGCTGATACAGCAATTTGTATATTAATAATTGTAGTTAATTGGGAACTTGATATGCCCAATTGAGCCATATGATCACGGAAAATAATACCAAATTGTTGAGCCAAAGCAAATGTTACCAACTGCAAGCAAAAGAATTTCATTAAAACATTTCTTAAAATTTTAAATTATATTCACAAACTTACTATATTAACACCACTGGCTATGGACACAAACCAACCCCAACCGCCATCGGGCGCTACAAAATTATCACCCAAATCACTTTTATCTCTACGTTTCTTTTTGGCGGGTTTCGTTTTTACCGGTTTCTCATTGTAGTTTATTTTATTATCGGTTATTATTAATTTCGGTAAATTAGCAGTCTCTGTCAATTTGGTTTTATGGCCCGTAGTGTCACCATTTGTGGTCACTGTGGTACCATTTGTAGATCCTGTTGTTGCTGTTACTTTGACATTATCTCCCATGCTGTTGTAGTTGTTGGTGATTTCTCATTACTCTCTGTTCGAACAATTATCTGCAAATGAATTGAAAAGTTAATTATTTATTATCTTGTTGTGTTTTAATTTCTTTGCCGTTTAAATATACTAGACGTTTAGTAAATAAAATAAATAAATAAATATTTTCAAAGCCACGCGTTAAAATTTGATTAAAACAAGAACAATTTATATTATAACACCGGCAAATAATCTTAAAGCGCAATAATCTCACGGTCTTGTCTGAGTTGGCGAAGTTATAAAGACATAAATGTTCTATATAAATATTTGGAACAGTGGGTTTTTGATTACAATTATTTTGATAAAGATTTTCTTTATGTTTAATATATATTGAAGGACAAACTTGAAAAAAAAATTCAAAACTGGAAATGTTTTTGGTTCCAATATTCTATATTTTTCATTTGATTATTCTTAGAGCAACTTGTGTAGTTTTTAATACCTTACCGTATTAATGATAGTTTTGATTTAAATTTAGAAAGTGACAACCTGCTCATGCCTGTTGTGCAAATATAATCTCTATAAAGTATTTATGTAGCCGATAACGTAAGCGATAACACTATGTTTTGATAAGCTATAATGATAAAAATCAAATCAAAACTCAGACAACATTAATTGGAATTTAAGATGTTCGATTCGTATACATGGTAACAGATGATATTATAAACATCATTTTATAAATCCTTAGATTCTACCAAATTATTATTTGTAAAAAATTATACGAAAATAAGGTAAATTTTAAACCCGAACTGAATTCTGCAAAAGGTGGTCATAGAACCTATCATTCATTTAATGGAAAGTTTTATTTTGATAATGTGATATTATAGAAATGTGTTTCTTTCAAAGTTAGCCACCAGTATCGTGATTAATAAATATAGAGAAACACTTTTAAAATAATGGCATCATTCCGGAATTATTTACAACAAAAATTAACAAAACGGATTTAATTATAATATCGCTAAGATAGTTTTGCCAACGGCATAAAGCTATCGTAATTCGTTGTAACAAATTATATATAGTCAAGACTATAGTCAAGATTCTAGGTCAGTCTCTACTCAGAACTATATCAGTTAATACTATAACTGATAGTCAAGTCAAGACTACAGATCAATTCATAGTCAAGACTATAGATCAGTCTATAGTCAAGAGTATAGTTCAGTCTATAGTCAAGACTATAAATCAATTTATGGTCAAGACTATAGATCAGTTTATAGTCAAAACTATATATCAGTCTACAGTCAAGACTATAGAGCAGTCTATAGTCAAGTTAATATATCAGTTTATAGTCCATATTATACAACAGTCTATATTCAATACTATAGATCAGTCTATAGTAAGGACTATAGATAAGTTTATTGTCAAGACTATAGATCAATTCATAGTCAAAACTATAGAGCAGTCTATAGCCAAGTTTATAGTGATGTCTACAGATAGTCAAGATTATATATCAGTCTATAGTCCATATTATACAGCAGTCTACAGTCAAGAGTATAGATCAGTCTATAGTCAAGACTATAGATCAGTCTATAGTCAAAACTATAGATCAGTCTATAGTCAAGACTATAGATTAGTCGATAGTCAAGACTAATGCTCAGTTTATATATCATTCATAATAGATCGGTCTGTAGTAAAGAAAATAGGACTATAGATCAGTTTATATATCATTCAAAATAGATCGGTCTGTAGTAAAGAAATAAGACTATAGATCAGTCTATAGTTAAGACTATAGATTAGTCGATCGTCAAGACTAATGCTCAGTTTATATATATATCATTCAAAAATAGATCGGTCTGTAGTGAAAAAAAATATATTACAGCCATAAGCCGCAATGTCACAGAAGACTTGAATAATTATAGTTTTTATATAAATTCTTGTGGAATTTAATTTAAAAAAAGTTCTTGTTATGATAAACTTTATTAAAAACCTCATAAAACCCCATGTATATAATTTTATGAATTTATTTTGTCATGTGTATTTTAATTTTACCGCTAATCAAAACCGAACTATTAACACTAATAACCGTACTATATATCTTTTGGCAACAGGCGTTGGGCGGTATAATCAATGTTATGAATTCGTATTTTCTAAATGCCCTATTCATAACAATTTATCAACAAAATTTGTTCTATAAACCTTTGATAAATTGTTATGAATAAGGCTATAAATATTTATATTTTTTTACAGGCCACAATAATAACATTAATAAATGTTTTTCCGAGGTCTGTCTTTTAATTTTCTTTGTTTTCTTCCTCTACATCAAAAATACACATAATTAACTAACACCTTGAACTCCTGGAATCAATTCTTATCAATATGTTTACTGAAAAAAATATAAGAAAAAAATTCCAATATCTTGTGGTCAACACGTATTGTAGATAATAAAGTTTGAGCAGCAATTGTTAATTTTTGTTGTTGTTGTTGTTGATAATTACAAGTGTATTCATTAAACTGTAGCATGATATGATAGAATGCGGCGTGCGACACTAATAAATTAAATAAGGAAGTGTTGCCATTTTTATGTGAAACTTATGGAAAAATCCATTTGAAATTTATAATATTTTAATAGTTTGTATTTGGAATTTTTCCATTTCTCTATATAAAAGAAAATGTGCTTGGGGCTGAACACCGGCAGCCCATAGTGGTCTCAGAAATTATTAGGATTCTATAAATCTTTTGCACAATCGAATTTTTGTAGATAAAAGTCGCAAAGTTAAAGTCGAATAGCTTTTCTAACAAAGTCGAAAAGTCGGCAACAAAGTCGAAAAGTCGGCAACAAAGTCGAACAAGCGATATTGCAGATAGTTAATGTCGAAATAAGTCGTGAAAATCATTTAAAATAAAAATAGAAAATATTTAATTATACTTTTAAAGTTATCTGATATCATTAGATCAGATCAGTTTTTAAAAACACAAATCATACTAAAATTCAACTTCCTCGATCACGCAAGAACTCGCAAAAATATCATTAAATGCAAAACTTATCATCTGTGTGATAATTATACAATTCTAAAAGTTGATTACATATTTAAGCACATGTCTATATGTAGATATAATTATTAACTCAACAACAACAACAATAATTGCGCTAACAATTAGAATTTCATATGGAATTGATAGATAATATAAATAAAAAATGCCATATAATGATTACAGACATTAATGATAAAAAAATTACAATTTTATACAGCAAAATTACGGTGAAATCAAATAAAAATGGATTGTCCCAAGTAAAATACTTTTAAGATTTATAAGGTCGGTATATCAAGTGATAAATATATTTATATTTAAATCACACATGTGAATCATTAGCTGTTTATAAATAATATAACACGCTGCATAAAGTAATTAATAACACGGTGTAACAGATTTACATGGTCTAGTGCAGTTTATAGGTCTGGTAATGTAGTTCAAAAGACTATAGACTAGACTATACTATAGACTAGACTATACTATAGACTAGACTATACTATAGACTAGACTATAGACTAGACTATAGACTAGACTATAGACTAGACTATAGACTAGACTATAGACTAGACTATAGACTAGACTAGACTATAGACTAGACTATAGACTAGACTAGACTATAGACTAGACTATAGACTAGACTATAGACTAGACTATAGACTAGACTATAGACTAGACTATAGACTAGACTAGACTATAGACTAGACTATAGACTAGACTATAGACTAGACTATAGACTAGACTATAGACTAGACTATAGACTAGACTATAGACTAGACTATAGACTAGACTATAGACTAGACTATAGACTAGACTATAGACTAGACTATAGACTAGACTATAGACTAGACTATAGACTAGACTATAGACTAGACTATAGACTAGACTATAGACTAGACTATAGACTAGACTATAGACTAGACTATAGACTAGACTATAGACTAGACTATAGACTAGACTAGACTATAGACTAGACTATAGACTAGACTATAGACTAGACTATAGACTAGACTATAGACTAGACTATAGACTAGACTATAGACTAGACTATAGACTAGACTATAGACTAGACTATAGACTAGACTATAGACTAGACTATAGACTAGACTATAGCCTAGACTATAGACTAGACTACAGACTAGACTATAGACTAGACTATAGACTAGACTATAGACTAGACTATAGACTAGAATATAGACTAGACTGTAGACTAGACTATAGACTAGACTATAGACTAGACTATAGACTAGACTATAGACTAGACTATAGACTAGACTAGTGGCCTCCGGTAGGTTAGTGGTTAGTGTTCTAGTCTGGTAGACGGGAGGTGGTGGGTTCAATTCCCACCTGAGACACTGGTTAAGGAGCGCACAACAGGCCCGATAGAGGCCTAGGTGTATTTCTTCGGATTTGATGTATATACATCCTCCTTTCAAACTAACATAGACTAGACTATAGACTAGACTATAGACTAGACTATAGACTAGACTATAGACTAGACTATAGACTAGACTATAGACTAGACTATAGACTAGACTATACACTAGACTATAGACTAGACTATAGACTAGACTATAGACTAGACTATAGACTAGACTATAGACTAGACTATAGACTAGACTATAGACTAGACTATAGACTAGACTATAGACTAGACTATAGACTAGACTATAGACTAGACTATAGACTAGACTATAGACTAGACTATAGACTAGACTATAGACTAGACTATAGACTAGACTATAGACTAGACTATAGACTAGACTATAGACTAGACTATAGACTAGATATAGACTAGACTATAGACTAGACTATAGACTAGACTATAGACTAGACTATAGACTAGACTATAGACTAGACTATAGACTAGACTATAGACTAGACTATAGACTAGACTATAGACTAGACTATAGACTAGACTATAGACTAGACTATAGACTAGACTATAGACTAGACTATAGACTAGACTATAGACTAGACTATAGACTAGACTATAGACTAGACTATAGACTAGACTATAGACTAGACTATAGACTAGCCTATAGACTAGACTATA